AAGAAGTACCTGAGACTGGGTAATTTATAAAGAAAAGAGGTTCAATTCACTCAGTTTTGTAGGCTGTTCAGGAAGCATGGCAACATCTGCTTCTGGGGAAGCCTCAGGGGGCTTTTACTCATAGTGGAAGTCAAAGCAGAAGCAGGCAAGTCACACTGCCAGAGCAGGAGCAAGAGAGAGAAGGGAGAGGTGCCATACATTTTTAAAGGCCCAGATCTCGCGAGAACTCAATCACTATCACGAGGACACCACCAAGAGGATGGTACTAAACCATTCGTAAGAACCCTGCCCCCATGATCCAGTAACCTCCCACCAGGCTCCACCTCCAACATGAGATCTGGGCAGGGGCCCGGATCCAAACTGTATCAGTCGGTGCGATGTGGAGAAATGGGAACGCTTGTACACTGCTATTGGGAACATAAAATGGTGCAGCTGCTGTGGAATAGCTTGGCAGTTCGTCACACAGTTCGAATTACCACATGACCCAGCAATTCCACTCCTAGCAGTATATCCAGGAGAAATGAAAACATATGTCCATGCAGAAACTGGTACACAAATGTTCACAGTAGCTTTATTTGTCATGGCCAAAACCTGGTAACAACCCAAATGTCCATCAACAGGCATTCAACAGGTATTGTGGTCCACCCATAAAATGGGATCCTACCAAGAATAAAAAAAGTGAAGTATTGATATGCGCAAAAACACCTGATGAAAAAATAATTGTGCTGAATGAAAGAGGCCAGACATACACTATGAGTCCATTTCTATGGAACTCTAGAAAATGAAAATTAGTCTACAGAGACAGCAAGCCAAGCAGTGGCGGTGGGGAAGGGGGACAGTGAGGGGCAGGAAAGAGGGGTTGCTGGGGGCACGAGGCCACTTTTGGGAGTGGTGGATAAATTCACTGTGTCGATTGTGGGGGAGGTTTCATGGGTGTACACACATGCCAAAAACTCTCCAAATGTACACTTTAAAGATGTGCGGTTTCTCGTATGCCTATTATACCTTCATAAAGCTGTCAAAGGAAGATTAAACAATCACCGACCTTCATGTCTGTGGCAGGCCTCCATTTCCCACGTGAATACGGCCCGGTGGTGGAGAAGGACCTAGTTTGGCCTTCCTGAACACAAAAGGAGGGCACTGTGCTCCTTTCAAAAGTTCAAGGCCTTGAATTGAAGGTACTTCCAATGCAATATAAGAATCTGCAGAGCAGCTGTCCAGAACTCCTGGAGGACCCCCGTTTTCTGAAGACAGTGACAGATGCACTGGCGCTGGCATTAGATGGAACCAGCTGCAAGTCCCATGGCGAGTACGAGCCCCTGAGATGCATGGCTGGCGGCCTTGTGTCAAAGCTGTCCCCTCTCATGCTGCCTCATTCTCATCATGCCCCCTGCCCAACACCTCATGGGCATCACAATCATAGAGATGACTACAGTCACAAAATTTGCGGTGGTCAGTGTGTAAATTCAAACCCTGTGGTAGTAATAATTTACATTAACTTCCCTTTGTCAATCTTACAATAATTCTTTCATGTTTTTGGAAAGTTGCTCCTTATCAGGAACCCGTTAGAGCCCAAACTTTTGCATATGGCATCCCAGAGTCTCCACACTCTGGTTCTAACTGACCCTTTAGCGCATACCTGTCCTACCACAATCTCTCTGCCCTTCTAGGCTTCCCCGAACACACCTCATCCTTTCTGTTCTTCCCCTACCTGTCGTAACCCAAGCACTTCCTTTCCCTTGTAGGAAGTCCCTCTGCCTCCACTTCCTGTCTGGCAAGTGTGGGAGCTGCCGTGTTGCCTGAAGTCTGGGAACAGGAAGGACTGGAAAAAAACACGTCTGTGTTCTCAGGAGACTGAGATGGCACTTTGCTGGGGAACACATGGGACCAGGTGCAGCCTCCCTTCCCTCTGGTCTCAGAGTCACGGTGTCTGAGCGGCCTCCGGTGGCTGCCTGTGATCCCACAAGGCCTTTCTGTCTCACCTTCACAAGGACCCCCCGAAGAACACCCAAGCACCAGCTCTGGCCATTTCCCACAATCCCAGCCTTACACCTTTCCTGTAACCTTGAACCTAATCCATATAGTTTAAACCCTCAGAATAGCCCCTCTGCACTAGAGGGCTCATTTCCAGGCCAATGCTCATAGACCTTCCTTATTTGCAACCAGAATAAATGGGAACAATTCCATTTCACAATGAATCCATCCAAGACATGTTACTAGTTATAGGGAGACACTGCCAGAGCATTTACGTGGCTCTTGAAGTGTTCACAGTTTCAAAGGGCAGAAGCCCAAAGGCAAAGAGGTCCCAGGTTGTTATCCAGGAAAATTCTTGGGTGGTGGGGTGGAGGCTTTCCCCACTTTCCCCATAGCTTAAGCTTTTACATGTTAGCTGTGTCCATCACAAAGTAGGCATAGACTACCCTCCGAGTTCCCCACACAGCAAGAGGGAGGGAGCCCAACTTAAAGGCACCTTTGAAGGAAAAACACAAATGTCCTTTTCGGACATTCTGACTTTGATTCCATGGCATACCTAATTGCCACACCCAAAGAAAATGATAGCAATGACGACTTTGCAGTGAGAATGCCATTAAGAGGAGCTAAATTAGACCAAGCAGTGACAAAAGGCTACACTATTTTAAATGTCATTTATCTAAGAAAGCACTGGGGACCCTGGAGCTTTTCCGGGCAGTCTGCCCAGCCTCTCTCTTGGCAACTCCACTTTCTGCCGACAACTCATGTACCTTGTCCTGCCTGTGTCTAGTCAGTCTTGACTGGGCGTAGGTCTCAAGGCAAGAAAAAGGAACTTCCTTTAAAAACAGAGTTCGCTTATGCATCAGAACCAATGGCATGACATGTTACTAAGGAGTCAACTCTCCTTTAGTGAAAGTAGCTACTGTCTGGCTTGTAGGAATGGAATCATTTACTTCCTAGAGTGACGGAAATGGGCATGAGACTGCATGGATATGTTTCTTTTCTGGTTCAGTTGAATGAACAATGGGCACCTGCTCCACATGAGGACTGCGTTTCTGGACCCATGCCAGCCCTTGCAAAGACTGCATGTCAGAAAAACCCAGACTTCCCAATGGCGTCACCAGGGACTTCAAATACACCATTCCTAATACTTCTTTTTCCGGAAAACCCAAAGTTGTAGATGCTTCGGATTGCCTCAAGGCAACGCTGGAGCCGATGATGGTCCCAGGCCTGAGTCTGAGGTGCTAGGACTACAAGACCCATTTCATTCACGCTTACTGATTGACAGCACTGGGCTTGGCATGGAGGGCATGGCGACAGGCGTGACACACACTTGCAGGCTTATGAGGCAGGCTCGTAGACGAGCACACAATCATAGGACGGAGATAGGGACCCACTGAGGGAGGCAACGGAACAAGCGCAGCTTACAAGAACTCTAGAAGTTTGCACCAAAGAATTCATATATTTATATATATATAAAACATATGTGCTTGTGCGCTGACGTGTGTGTGTGTGTGTGTGTGTGTGTGTGTGTAATATTTCTGGAGTTGCACTCCAAGCAGCATTCTCTGAGGGAATCCTGTGTTTTCAGGTCTTCCCGCACTCTCCTGATTGGAGGCAGCTGTCTCTGAACAGCACCCTCCACCGCACCTACCAACCGCCTGCCCTTGGTCCTTGTAGATGACAAATCCCCTCTTCCCTGGGAGGGGACAGGGCTGGAAGGGGGTGGCCGCTGACCAGGACACTGGGCTGAGAGCACCAAAGGGCAGAGATCCTGGGCCCAGATTTGGGGACAGGGCTGGGGGGCTAGGACAAGGTCTGCCAGCAGCTACGTCTGCCAGCCCTGAGTCTTCCTTGAGAATTCCCCTTGGCTTTCAGTAAAGTGACATTTGAAGGGTCTGCCCTGTCTCTGCAGGGCTAAGGGGAAGAAGGGCAAACTGCATTGTTGTAGGGAGAAGAGGGGCCAGGCTTGCCACCATACTCATCGGGGCCCCCTTTCTCCTGCCTGAGGTCTTCCTTCTCAGAGGGTTGGGGGGACTCTTATTTAGGGAGTGATTCCCTGACACTCTGATATGGCAAAATCTCTATTTTCAATGTACATTACCCCTGAATACAAAAAACATTCAAAGCAACAGAACGTCCAATATTCTACAAAATGTCACCCAAAAGACATTCAATCAAAGATCCGTTCCTGGGCTTGCTCTGTTGCCTAAGTGCAAATTCCTAACCCATCTGGCTTTTCTCCTAATCATCACCAGCCAAAAGAGAGGCTGCCTGATGGGGAGGAGCAGGTAAGTGTGAAGATTTAGGCACTGGTGGTGGGGCAGGGCAGGGAACAAGGGACAGAGAGGCCAGGGTGGCCTTTGCTGGTGGGGTCTGGGGGGCAGAAGGCAGTGGGTGGGCAGGGGGGGAAACCGAAGCCAGCAGGGTGGCTAGCTGCAAATGTCCAAATGTGAGTGACCAGAAGGGAAGGGCTCCTCTCCCAGAGAGGGGATGCTGAGAGTCCCCGGGTCTTATCCTTTCTGCGGGTCCTGGGCCAGCCATTCCTAGAGTCACGGTGCTCAGGGATGACGAGGCCTAGGCACTGCTCCTACTCCCAGAAGCAGCTGGGGGCACCCAGACAAGGTATGAGTTTTCCGGCACAGTCCTCCATCTGTGCCCACATTCAGGGAGCCTCTTGCTTCTGTGCCAACTTTAGAGTCTCACCCACCCACAATATAAGCTCTTAAAGGATTAAAGTGCTTTCAGTATCTTCTACCTGGGAACACTAACAACTTTTAGGGCGAGGGGAACGACCCCCAGGGAGGAAATGGACCACTCCTCTTAACCCAAAGCCAGTGTGCCCCGGCTGGCTGGCTTCACTGGCCTCACGCGGCCTTGTCCTTACCCGCAGCAGGCGATGCTGATGCAAATCCGAGAGACGGCTTGCGCATCCCCTCCACGCACGACTGTGCACACACCATAGTGCTTGTGGCTCGGGGACGAGTGCCCCAGGTGCCGCCTCTGTGCCTGAGTTGCAAGGCCCAGGAGTCTGGAGGGAGTAGAGGGCCTCTGTCGGCGGTCCGCACTGTCCTCGGCGGAGGAGCCAGGGCAGGCGGCCCCGGGGGAAGGGTGCGTTCCTCTGTTCTGAGTTCCTCCCGCGTTTCTCAGCCTCAGGGTGAGGCTCTGCCTGGGGTTTTCTGATGGCCAAAGAGGTCAGGGCTGTGGCTGCTGTCGCGGCCCTGGGAGAGCACTCTTCCCGCCTGAAGGGGGCTGAGTCTCTACGTTCCCTGGAAGGCCCCCTACGGCGGCCTGCCGCGCCCTGGGTGCGCTGGCGGGGAGTCAGCGGCGGCTGGGCCTGGAAGGCTTGGAAGCCGCGCTCACCCTGGGGGGGCTACTGGCCGCTACTGCTCTCCCAGGACTGGCGCTCCTGGAGCCCGCTCGCCGCCGCGCCGCCTCTGCTTTTGCCTTCGCTGGGCGCCTGGCGCCGTGCACTGCCTGGTGCTTGAAGAGGTTGGCGCGCCGGCCGAAGGCCTTGCCGCAGTCACTGCACTCATAGGGCTTCTCCCCGCTGTGCACGCGCCGGTGCTGGCTGAGGCCCGAGCGGCCGCGGAAGGCCTTGCCGCACTCGCCACACTCGAAGGGCCGCTCGCCGCTGTGGCTGCGCTGGTGGTGGATGAGCTGCGAGACGCCCTTGAAGGCCTTGGCGCACTGGCCGCAGGAGTAGGGCTTCTCGCCGCGGTGCGTGCGCTGGTGCTCGATGAGGTTGGAGCTGCGGCTGAAGGCCTTGCCGCACTCGGGGCACGCGTAGGGCCGCTCGCCGCTGTGCACGCGCTCGTGCTCCAGGAGGGCGAAGCTGCGGCGGAACAGTTTGCCGCAGTCGCCGCAGGAGAAGGGCCACTCGCCGCTGTGGATGACCTGGTGCTTGATGAGGTTGGAGCTGCGCGTGAAGGTCTTGCTGCACTCGGGGCAGGCGTAGGGCTTCTCGCCGCTGTGGATGCGCTGGTGCTCCAGGAGCGCGAAGCTGCGGCGGAAGAGCTTGCCGCACTCGGGGCACGCGTAGGGCTTCTCGCCACTGTGGATGATGAGGTGCTTGATGAGGTTGGAGCTGCGGCTGAAGGCCTTCCCGCACTGCTGGCACAGGTACCGCTTCTCTGCACCTTTGTGGCCTTGCGACCCTGTGGCTGAGCTCGGCCTCAACCCTTGGGCACCTCTCTGCAGCACAGACGACCTTGCTGCCTGCCCCTCCTTGCCACCTTGTGGATCGGCCCCGGGGAGCTGTCGTCCAGAATGCTTCTGCATTGAAGTTGATGTCGTGCTGTGTGTCCTGTCACCTGGAAAGGCAGAGCACCAGGCAGTGTCACCCTCATGCCAAGGCGGAGAGGTGAACGAGCAGGAGGTGAGGACGCAGTGGGACGGAACAAGGTGACCACAGAGCAGAAAGTGATCACACAGGCAGACGGGGGAGATGAAGGGGTGGGAGAATGGGCTGCAGACAGCCGGGCTGCTGTGACACCTGGAGACTGATGTCTGCCTCCAAAGAGAAGTTTCCATCCAAAATGGCAGCGCCCCCCACCCCTTTGCTATTTCTTTTCCCCAGATGGGGAGCCGGCTGAGCACCTCTCACTCACCTATGAGCAATCCTTTGGTGGCCCAGGTTCTGGGGATGTCTGCTACCCAGGGTCCTTCCCCTCGCTCCAATTGGGAGATCAGGTGAGGCTTGGAGAAGGAAAACCCTGGGCAGGGAATACAAAGCGGGTCAGGACCACTATGGCTAAGGACATGGCCGCTCCTGAACTCAGGTCATTCTCAATATCTTCAGGTAACAGAGAATAAAGAACTCTCTAAAAAGCACCACCGGGAAGGTCCAGAGAAAGCGCAGAGTCTCTCTATGAAGGCAAGGGCTCCTGCGAGTCCAGGGCCAGGTGGGCGTGGAGAGCTTGTGTCTGGCAATCTGGGCCATGAGGACAACTGTGTTTGTCACCTGGCCTGCAGGGAGGCTGAGAAACTCATGAGAACTTGGACATGTGTGTGGGGACCCTGAGGGACAGAAGCAGGGAGTGTTGGGAGGCCGACAGCCATGTGGCCCAAAAGCTGAAGTGCCCTGTTTCATCATCAAACTCCACTGAGGATCCCAGACACCTCCCTGGAACCCCAGGTCTGCCTGGTGAGGGTCAGAAGGAAGCAGGGGATGAAGCTGCTTCCCCTGTATGGGGTAGATTACAAAGGCAAAATCTGTGCAGTCAGACCCCCACAACCCCGAAGGCAGTAGGGTACAATATTGAAGCCCCTCTGGATTTCCCCTCTGGCAGCGAGGGGAAATGGAGTGTTTCCATCTCCACTGGAAAGTGGAGTGTCCAAGCTAAGCTGCAGCAGCCAACCTTGCTGGGTGCACTGGGGGAAATGCCAGAGGCTGGGTCCCGCTCTGTCTCACACATGCATTTTTCATCAGCTGTGTGAGGCGGGGCAAGTCACTGGCACCCTCAGAGGTTCTGCGCCTCACCTGAAAGCTCCTGAGTGCTCTGGCCCTCATCTATCTAGCCTGTTAATCCTGCGTTTGTCCTTTAATTGGCAAAGTTGTTGCCCCTTCCGGCAGTGGGGGTGCACGGTCAGGGAAGGGGGAGAGCAGCCTGCTCCAAGCTGCCCCAGCTCCTTCCAAGACTTCTCAAGGCTTGAAATCCAAGTGTACAATTTGTCCTTACGTGGGACCTCCCTGGTCGATGGAAGCAAAAGATGTTGCTAAATTTTATAAAGTGGAACAGATGCAAAATGCAGCCATCATAGAAATGAATTAAGTCTAAAATAGTTCACATAAATATTCCAGTATAATTTGCATCTCTTTTTAATAGAAAGACATTTAGTCGATTCATGATTTTATACACAAGATAAGTCTGACACTGAAACTCACAGGCCAATGCATTTACCTAAAACATTTATGGGTCCAGGCCACTTAGCTAAAAACTATCCTACTGAGATGGCAGAGCTGGCCTGCAATGGATTAGTGGTATTCTTGGGCTCGTTGCAACCAACAAACAGGACAGTCAGAAACAAATTTAGCCCAGAGACAGAGTAGGTGGACTGAGTGTGTGTATGTCATGGGGGGTCACTTACCCAGTGACACCAAATGGCTATAGTTTTCCAGCATCACCCGCTTGTAGAGGACCTTTTGTCTGAGGTCCAGAAGCTTCCATTCTGTCTTTGTGAAGTACACAGACACGTCCTCAAAAGATACTGGCACCTAAAACAAGCCATTCTTGTGGCCACAGGGGACTTCAACCCCCTGGGCCCCTGGAGGAGCTACAGAAACAAAATGTGAGGTGGGGGGAGCCCTGGAGGGTGGAAAGGCTTGGAGTTGCATGAGTTGTAAGACAGAAAAACAGGAGGCACAGCCAACAGAGGCAGGAAGCCCAGATTGTGGACCTCAGGAAAGGAGAACAATGGTAAGGGCAGCCTAAGCTCAGCCCAGCTGGAGAGGTCTGGGCCTGAGGAGGTAGCACATGGGGGCTGGCGGGGGGAGAGGCCAGGGAGAGGTCCCCCACTCACCTTGGGTCTCGTGGTCAGGAGAATGGCTGCCATCTCCAGGGCGTGGAGGAGCTGAGGGAAATGCAAAGAGCCCCTGTGAGCTCAGGTCAGCCTGGAGCAGCCGACCTGCGACCCGCTTAGTTTTTCTTGTGAAATAAGCAGCGCAGTGCCCACCTGTGGTGTTCTCACTCCTGCAGCTTCACCAAGGGCCCCTGACCATCAGACCGTCTGTATGGCTTCCATAGCAAGTACTACAAATTGGGGCCTTCAAGCAACATGCATTTTTCTCCCCCAGTTCTGGAGGCCAGAAATCTGAGATCCAGGTGCCGGCGGGCCCCCACTCTGTCAAACCCCTTCCTTGCCTCTTCCGACTTCTGATGGCTGCCAGCAATCCTTCTCTGCCTCTGTCTTTGTGCGGCCATCCTCTCTGTGTCTGTGTCTGCGTTCACATGTCCCTGGTCTGCTGAGGATGCCAGTCACTAGTCCCTGGTCTGACACCAGTCACTGGATTAGGGCCCACCTGCTCCTACAGCGATGACTCCATCTTACCTTGATTACAGCTGCAAAGCTCTCTTTCCAAATGAGGTCACAGTCACAGATACCAGGAGTTGAGACTTCAATATGTCTTTTTGGGGGACACAATTCAAACCCAGGACACTTTCTGCAACTGAGCTGCCATGCCTCCTCCCCTGTGCAGTGGGCCATGAGCTAGGGCTGTCAAGGGAGCCCATTTCTTCTTTCCTTTCTTTTCTTCTTTTGCTGTTTTCTTAGCTCTCTCCCCATGTGGCCAGCACCCCCTGACCCCAGCTTTCCAGCCGTTCCTGGAAGCTCCACTGCAAATCCCCTTCCCTCAGGTCAGGATTCTTAAGGAAACTCCAAATACACACGTACAACCTCCGCTTGCGACATGAGGACTTGCTCTCAAAGAAGAGAAGAGAGGTGAGGGTAGTTCAGAATCAAGGAGACCTACAGTAGCAGGGGTGCTCTCTGAAGGGGTGACATTCAGGCAGAGAGCTAGAGGCTGCAAGCGGCAAAGAGAGCAGCCAATGGCACACCTTGGCCCTCGAATGGTCATGAGCTTGGCAGTTGTGGTGCTGAAAATTAGGGAACAGGTGCAGAGGATGACACCATGTGGGATCCTGGGGGGACAGCAGGAAGCTAGTTTCAGGCTAAGAGTGGGGAACATGAAATTGACCAAGTGGACAAAATGCACCTTGGCCTCAGGACTTCTTCTCCACATCAGTTCTCAGTGCTAGAAGACAGCCAGCGCTGTGGTTTGGGTATCTGAGCCTCCAAACGTGGCGTTGCAATTTGGTCCCCAATGTTGGAGGTGGGGCCTCATGGGAGGTGTTTGGGTCATGGGGGTGAGTCCCTCACGAACAGATTAATGCTCTCCCTGAGGAGTGAGTGAGTCCTTGCTCTGTGAGAGCTGGTTGTTAAAAGGCCTTTCCCCCCATCTTGTGTCCCCTCTGGCCACCAGCTCCCCTTGGACTCCCACCCTGAGTGGAAGCAGCTTGAGGCTCTCATTAGATGCAGGTCCCCAGTCTTGAACTTTCTAGCCAGCAAAATCCTGAACTAAAGAAACATTTTCTCTTTATGAATTTCCCAGCAACACAGGCTGTCTAGCACAGGCAGGTCAAAGGCTGCTCCTTTCTCAGCACACCGGCCACTGCCTGCTTTCTCTGCTTCTCTGCCTGGGACTTTCATTTTGTTGGTCTCCAAGCTTTTATTGATGTTCCAATAGGTGACTACGGTTTGTCTGTGGCAACAACAAGGCCGCAGGAGAGAGGGAGAGGGAGCATAGAGAAAGACAGCCATAGTATTTGCCTAGCATTTAGCTTGCCCCAAAGTCCCTTATCATCTATGATGACCTGCCAGCCAACATTGGTCCACGATACATAAGCTCATGTTCTGAATCCCTGAGGGTGGAATGGGTGCTAGAACCATTAGGTTAAAGACTGAGGGAGAAAGGGATATCACATATCAAAACGTCATCCTGTGATTATTTGCTGGCTGCATGAGAGTAATCTAACCTAGCAGTGGGACACAGGGGAGGGGACAGTCCTGCTGCCAGGATGCAGTAGGAAGGTATCCTACCAAAGCCATATGACTGGATTTGAATGCAGCCTTGGCACTCAATGTCCAGTGTCCTGAGGCCCTCAGGAACAGATGACACCACAAGAAAGCAACCTGCCCGACCCAGGAAGTGGGCCGTTCCATAGAGCCGGTCCAGTGTCCTCTGCAAATCCGTGTCATGAGGGGAAAAGGAGACTGGGCGTAGAGACTGTTCTAGATGAACAGAGATTTAAGGGGCCCAACACCCAAGTGCAAGAGGGGTCGTTGATGAGATGCTGGCATAAATGAGAGTTGTCAAAGGGATTGGGGATTATGTGAGGGGGTGGCTATGGGGTGGCCCTCAGAAGACAGGAGGGGATCATTACTGCTCAGGTGTTGGATGGATAGTGGCACTGGGTCATGAAAGAAAATGTCCCCATTTAAATAAATGCACATTGCAGCCTTTGGGGGAGGAAATGGCATGCAAGTTAGTTTAAAACCTTTCAGAATGAGAAAGAGAGAAAAGCTGATGCAAATAAGGCAAGATGGTGATCACTGCCAAACCTGCACGGTAGGTGACCTGTGTGTCCTCAGACCAGTCCCTCTTTTTTGTCTGTGCACAAAATTAAAAAGAAAAGAAAATAGAACTATGGAAAACAGACTGGTGGCTTGTCAATAAGTTAAACATAGTTACCGTATGATTTGGCAATTCCACTTCTGGGTATATACCCCCAAAGAATTGCAGACAAGTGGTTCACACAAACCCTTGCACACCTGCGTTCACAGCAGCGTTAATCATACAGCCAAAGGTGGAAGCAGCCCAAATGTCCATCGACAGATGGGTGGACCAACGCCGTAAATCTATATATACAACGGAATAGTATTTGGCCATAGAAAGAAAGGAAATTCTGCCACGTGCTACCATGTGGATGAGCCCCGAGGACACTGTTCAGTGAGAGAAGCCAGACACAGACTTGAAAGGCCACATATTGTCTGATTCCATTTTGTGATGTAACATCACACTTCCCAAGAGCTGTCTTGACCTCGTTTTGAAACAGTGGCTAAAATCTCTCATCCCTCTGCCCTTCGAGGGCAGTTTGATAGGTCCCCACTCCCACCACTTTTCTTACAAGGTCCCTTTCTCTGGGGTCACCAAACACACACCCCAACTGCCCCTGCCTCATTGAGCCCCCACACTCTGGGGCCAGGCACCAGACAACTGGGGACAGCCCCTATGCTCTGGAGCCTGAAACCTTATGCAACTCAATCAATCCACAGGAAGCCCGAGAAACCAAGCCACCCGCCTCTACTGGCCTCTCACCCCAGGTGCTGTTTCCCTGTCCCTGCCGGGTCTAACCCCCGTGTGGCCCTGCCGGGCAGTCTTCTCTTGTTCAGAGCGATACAGAACAAAAAGCTGTGCCTTTCATCTATCCCAGGGTCCTGCCATCCAAAGAACCTTTAACTCTCATAAAACATGTCTGTCCAGAACAGGCCAATCCATTGTGTCAGAAGGCAGATTGGTGGGTGCCAGGGGCTGAGGGGATGGGGAGGGACTGCTAATGGGTCTGGAGGTTTCCTTATGGGGTGATGAGAATGTTCTGTAACTAAACAGAGGTGGTGACTGCACAACATGGTGACTATACTAAATGACCTGTGAATTGTTCTCTTTAAAATAGTTAATTTCGCTGGGTGTGGTGGCTCACACCTGTAATCCCGGCACTTCGGGAGGCCAAGGTGGGTGGACCACTTGAGGTCAGGAGTTCGAGACCAGCCTGGCCAACATAGTGAGACCCCATCTCTACAAAAATACAAAAAATTAGCTGGGCATGGGGGCATGTGTCTGTAGTCCCAGATACTTGGGAGGCTGAGGCAGGACGATGGCTTGAGCTGGGAAGGTCGAGGCGGCAGCAAGCCGTGATTGCGCCACTGCACTGCAGCCTGGGTGACAGAGCGAGATTCTGTCTCAAAAAAATTAAGTTTTATGTTGTGTGAGTCTCACTTCAATCAAAAAGGAGGGGAAAAGAAGTGATCCTGTAAGGTAATCACCTGATGTCCGCAGGCCTCACCTGACTTCATTAGCACACACTGTCAGTGACTGGGAGCCCTGCAAAACTAAAGGTGAGTGAGGAGGTGTTACTGATAATTTGCCAGGGCTTTCAGACTAGTATGAAATGATTGTTTTGGAAAGCAGCATAAGCTCATTTTTTCCCCTACCATAACAGTACTGAAATTTCATTCACTACCCATTTTGGGCAAGTTGAAAGGGGGAGGAGTTATCTCTAGTCCTTCCACCCCAAGATGTGCTGATGCAGGTCTGAGCCCCAAGGGAGCAGAGCACTGTTGAGTGGTGACCCCCGAGTGAACACCCCATCAGCTGGAGTCCACCCAGAGACGGAGACCCACACTCAAGTGCAGCATCGGAAGACTCAGCGGAGGTGCTGGCCACACCGAGCTGTCACCCAGAGCAGTGCCTATCCTTGAGGGCCAGGTTCTCGAAAATCATCTCCAATTTCAACTCCTGGAAAGAAAGACACAACAAACTTTGTGCCCATAGAACTCAAGTAATCTCCAGTTGAGCACCGCTCCGTGCATCTGAGGACAGGAGAACCTGGAAGGTGCCTGGCAGAACTAGAGAGCAGCTTCTTCCAGCTGGACCGGCAAGAACTTTGGGGACCAGCAGAGCAGAGGCCAAGTGGAAGGATAAAGTTGCGCTCTGAAGCCAGGCTTCCCTGAGGCACGGCATTGGGCTCGAAGGCAAGGGTTCCACTAGACCTTGGCACCTCAGGTAAGAAGCCAGGGAGCCCATCAACCTGGGTGACTGGTGCCACTAGCAGCCCCTCCAGGGCTGCTCCACTTCTGCGAGGGGCCTCGGACTTGGGACCCTTGCTTGCGGATCTTAGCCTATGGGTGGAACTGAGTATGCAGGGTGGTCCACGCGGGGAGGGCCAGGAAAGGGGTGACAGCAGGGCCACTGCCTACAAGGAAGCCTGGCCAACCAAGGGGAGAGCCGGCAGCAGCAGGATGCCTTAAGGCGACCACTAGATGGGGAGATATTCCCAGAAAAAGAAAAAAGAACCCACACAAACAACATTGAGAGACGCATCCAGCAGTCCCATTCGTGGGGTGCAGCAATTTGGGCTTTTTCATTCACAGCAAGGGACAGGCATCGCCACTGTGGTTGGGTTTCTTCTGTCCTGGGGGATCTTGCTTCTCTCAGCCCCACCAGCTTTCCCTGGCCTGAGGCCCTAGTCACCTGCTGCCCACCTGGCAGAACGGCCGGGGAGGGAAACTGGAGAAACTAGAGCCAAGGCTCAGCCTGGGTGCTGCGTGGGCTGACCGGGGCCCTGCCTGCAGCCTAGCCTGGCAAGCTCCTCTGAGGAACTTCCTTGCAGCTGGCAGGCCTTTCCCTCTGGGGGCAGAGTCTAACCCACCCAAAAGGCGGCCACCCAGGCTGCTTGCTGAGGGATCCTTCGAAGAGGTGGGTCGGGTCCTGTCCTTTTCTGCTCACAGTTATCCCTGGGATGCCTGTGTCACTCAGAGTAAACCCACCCAGCCCTTCCTGACCTTGCCCAGCCCTCCTGCCACCTCTGCGCTTCCCTCCACTGCTGCCACACTCTTGCTCCGGAGAGCAAGGCCACTCTCACCCCAGGGCCTTTGCACGGGGGATTCCCTCTGCCTAGAATGCTCTTCCAAAACATGACCACATGCCTCGCTCTCTCACCGCCTTCGAGTTTTCATAGAAATGTTGCTTTGAAATGAGACTTACTCTAACCACACCACCTAAACTTGCAACCAGACCTCCCTTCCTGGCTTTTACTGCCTTTTAACAGACTCGGTAATTACTAATGGAAAACAGTTTCTGTTTATTCTCTGCGCTCAGCCACTAGAACGAGAACCCCAGGGCAGGGCTTTCTGCCGCTGTCACTGGCAGATCTTGAACGATTGCAGCAGCGTGGCCCCTGGAGAGTTCTCAGGAGTTGTGGGATTGAACCAGTCACAACTAGGCTGGCAGGGAAGTGCTGGGTGCTGCTTTCTGCCCAGCTCGCTGGGTTCCTCTCTCACCCTTGCCCACCACCTTCCATTGGCTGTTCCCTTCCTCCTAAGCTTGCTTAAGCTTCTGCTTTTCCGTGGCATGCCAGTCACCCAGTCAACACCCTGCGCCACCACGAGGCACCAGCACATACCTGATACCCTCTGGAGCACAATTTTGGGCATCCTGACCCCATCTGGGGACCCTCAGGGCCGGTGGCTGGGTAGCAGTGCCACAACCTCACAATGCCAATCTGCCTGGCACTCTCAAACCCAGAGGTGCAAAATCCAAACTCACCAGGCGATGAGCTACGGGATGCTCTTTAGCCAGCCCCGGGACCGGTGGCTGGAAACCAATCAGGACAGAAATTGACAAACACTGGCGGAGGCTCCCAGCGCCCAGCCCTGGAAGGCTGCTCTCCCCTAACGCCCCTGGTAGGGGGCGGCTCCGAGGGCTGATCCCGCCACTCAGCGCTAGCCCGCCTCCCAGGGCGTCCCTGTCTTTCGCCGTAGCCGCTGCTCCTTCGTCCCCCTCCCCACCTGCACCCTGCCCAGACGGGCCCCTTACCTCTTTACCCCCTTACCCGCGGCTCAGCTAGGCCCTTCTATCTGGGCTCAGCGGCGGCTCAGCTTAGCCCTTCTACCTGGGCTCAGCGGGTAGCCGAGGGAGTCGACCTCCCTTCCCGCCCTCTGCAGCACCGAGGCCGAGGCCGAGGCCGCCGCCACCTCCGAGAAGCCCTCCGAGGCGGTGTCCCCAGGAGACTGGGCCGGGGGGATCGGGGGACTCCCGGCCGGGTGTCGACCTCGCCTCTGGGTACCGCTCGCGAGGCACGTCCTGAGGGCAGTCTGTCCGTCCGGTGCGCCGACGAGCGGGACGGGAGCGGGCGGGGCCGGGGCGGCGGCGGCGTGGGAACGGGGCGCGGAGGGGGGGCACGGAGCATGCGCGGCGCGCCGGGAGGCGGCCCGCCTCGCGCCCGCCCCACAGGGGCGTCTGGCCTCGCTCCCTACGCGCCCCAGGGCACTTCCGCTTTTTGTCTGGGCTGCTCCGAAGGCTGGGGTCGAAATAGTCAGCACACCGATGTCCCCGAAGGGGACAGGGGAGGGATCCACGTTGGCAGAACACCTCCCATGGGCTAGACCCCTGGGTATTACGTCCATTCATTCAGCTACTCATCACGCTGGGGTCCACAGGACATCTGCGGGGCAGCTAGCACCAAGTGGCCCAGCCATGGTCACCAGTAAGGGAGCATCTCCGGTGACTCAGGATTGCAAGGATCAGAAAGTGGGGGAGAGGTGAAAGGTGACTTGGGAAGGGTGGTGTGGAGACCGGAGGAGGAGAAAGAGGAGGTCACGGAAGTGCAAGAAGGCAAGGCCTGCTGGGTGCATCTGGCTTTCCCTCAGGTTCCCGGAGGGGATCCGCCTGTAGTTTGTCATTTTCCAATGGGTCATGCTCCACGTGGCAGAGCTGGGATTGAAATCCAAGGCTGCTTGGATATTTCTCTGTTGACAATTGTGAGATCCTTGACAAGTAGTGAAGCATATGAAAAAGACCGTAAAAGAAAAGCAACGGAAAAATCAGTCACACCGGGTGTCCCAGCCCTGGCCGCTGGGAGCTGGGCACGAGGCAGGCGCCCCCTTGGCCGCTGAGAAACCAGAGCTCAGGGGTTTCTTTTCTTCCGAGACCCAGGGCCCTGGCCAGGAGCACTTGGCTCGCAGCAAGGAGCCCTCGGCAGGCCTGTGCTCCCAGGAGGAAAGCCGTCCATCCTGGACCTAGAGGAAGGGCGGGGCGCTGCTCAGGGAAGCTCCCGCTGCAGGAAGCAGGGCCCCCAGGGGGCCCAGTGCAGACACAGCTTCGGTGCCCCTTTCCCGGAGCAGAGGCAGGGAGGCGCCCGGTGGCCCTCGGCTGTGGGTCCTGGTGCCCAAGCTTGTCCCTTCACCGGGGCTCTGGCTGGGCAGGCTGGGGCCTGGGCTGTTGAGACGCTGTGGGGTGACTGGTTGGTGACCCCTGAAAGATACATCCGCTTCTTAACGCCCGGGCCCTGTGAGCACGGCCTTATATGCGAAAAAAGGGTATCTGCAGATGTCATTACATTGAGGATGTGGAGATAAGGGCAACCTAGATCATCCAGGGGGTCCCACGGACGGCTCCCTTAGAAGAGACAGGAGAGAGAGACACGGAGAAGGCCATGTGGAGGCGGAGGCGGGGAACGTACGGGGTCCCCAGAAGCTGGAAGAGGCGGAAGGATCCTGCCCCAGAGCCCCGGGAGGAAGCGCTCGGTGTGGGACGCCGGCCTCCGCAACTGGGAGAATCAACTCCCGTTGGTTGAAGCCACGCCGTTTGTGGTCATGCCGAGACAGCCCAGGCCACTCCGACGCGCGAGGGAATGGGCCTAGCCCCGAGTCCTCCTGGGCCGTGAAGGCGAGGGGCGGGGGGACCTTTGCACCTACCTCATCCAGTAACCTGGTGGGGGCTCCGGCGACCGTGGGAAGGCAGCCCCCATTGTCCTTGGGTCGTTTCCAGCGTGAGCGGAAAGGCATCTGCCCACATGCCCACGAGCCATCCCTGCAGGCATCTGCCCACATGGAAATCGTGAGCAGCCAACCTGCACGGAGGCTGGAGAGTGCGTGCCTCGGGCCGGGGACCCCTGGGAGTGTGCCCCACTTCCACTGCAGGAGGAGGGGCTGTGTGCCCTGGGCTGCGGGTTCCACACCAGCCTAGAAATGGGGGCGCAGGGGCTGCCGTGTGCGCCATTGTCTGCAGCGTGTGGGATGACACATTGGTGGTGGCGGGGCACCGCTGTCAGAGCCTCACACCTAGAGCAGGTGAAGGGGACCTTGACAAGCCCCCGATTCCGTCGGGAGATCAATCTCCCTTCTAGCATGTTTTCGGTTTTTTACTGTAAAGAATTTCAAACACACACCCAAACTAGAGAGGATGACAGGGCACACACCCGCCTGCCGCCCCGCCAGAGGTCCTCTCACGGCCCTGTCTCCTCCCTCTGCCTCCTCTTACTGTGATTGGGAGGCCTGGGGCCTCCTGAGAGAGGCATCCCCCTCTGACTTCAGCAGGGATGGAGCCTCTCAGGCAGCAAACCTGGATTCCCAACCTGGGAGGAAGGTGTGGGTTTGGGAGCTGGGAGGTCCCCTCTCCTCCATGGTTCCCCGCCACCCCTAGCCCTTTCCCAGTCTGGCTGCTCCCCAGCTCCGGTCTTCCATTCCCCCCTTGGCCCAGGCTGGCCCAGGATAGGCAGGCAAGGTAGCCGGGCGGGGCACAGGGGAGTGGGCACTGTCCCACAGCTGTGGTGCTGCACTCTGTACTGTGGGCACCTACCAAGCCACAGGCAGCCCTCTCCTGGGGGCAGGTTGGCAGCAGTTCCCCCAAGCTTTGACAGGTGCCCGGGGGCCCAACAGGGAGGTCCAGGGTGAAGCCAAGCTGTCTGTGGGAAGTGAGCACACAAGTGGGGGAAAGCCACCTTCACAGCGGGGCAGAGGTCAGGGCGGCACTCTCCCAGGGGTCAGTCAGGCTGTGGCTGACTGTTCTGCGGGCATGCCCTTGGAGGGAGGTGGTCTGGGGCTGCGTGCAGAGCCTTGAGAATGTGCTGCCAGCCTCAGATACCCGTTGGGGATGATAGCGACTGTGGGCTCCTGTGGGGATAGGCTGCGTGTCTGGACCGGGTGAGCTGTTTCTGTGCAACTCCTGACCCTGCGCCCTGCCAGAAAGGTGCTGAAGATGGGGTGCAGCCAGCGAGTGGAGGAGGGGGATGTCCATGCTGCCGTCCTAGGAGACGGTGGCTCTGGGGAAGTCGGGGATGAAATGCATTCGGCAACACCTCAGGTCCCGCATGCTGCTCCTTGAGCCTGCAGAAGGGTCAGAGTACTGCATGGCTCATGGCATGGAGAATGTCTTGTGTCACATGGGGCAGTTCGTCCACCCTTGGGACCCCTAGGCTTGATGGGACCCTCATGGTGAGGCTGGTAGGCACAATAGCATCAGGCCTGGGTGCCAGGAGGGAGCAGTGGCCAGGCCTCAGAGCAGGATGCCTTGGCCTTCAGAAGCCAGAGGGCCTGCAGCTCACCTGGGCACCTGCCCCAGGAGGTGGCCCTCCACTTGCTGCCTAAGTGACAGCTTCTCTCATGGGTGCAGCTGTGGATCTGGTTTCTGAATGTTCCAGAGGGGAGCTCCTGCTGACTCTTCTACGTGGCCACTACCATCCTCACTGTCCCTTCCAGGATGGCCTCCTCTCCCTTCACTGACACTCCCAGTCTGATCACAACTGTCTCTCAACTGTCCCTCCCAGTATGGCCACAGCTAACCCAATTGTGCCCCCTCTAGTGGCTTCACTGTCCCAAGCTGTCACCCAGGCCCCAGCCTCTTTCTGCCCTCAGCTCTTGGCTCTGGCTTCAGGCTGCTGCCTGTGTGCTGGAGAGTGTCCGTCAGTGTCTGCTGGGACCATGTGCTTCCTTGTTCCTGCTCAAGGAAAGAGAGGCCCCTCCTCTGTGGTTAAAATCTGAATCCTTCCCTTCGGTCTGACTGGGCCATTTGGGCCATGGACTGCTTTAATTACTAACAGTTGCCCCAGGAACACGTGTGCAGCTGCATTTAAACGAATCAGGAGCCGCCTCTTGATTTGGGGACGGGAGTCACCTTGCCCTGAGCCACATGGGGGAGTGATGGAGGCTGGAACAAAAAGGAGCTTCTAGCTGGGCATGGGAGCTCACATCTGTAATCTCACCACTTTGGCAGGCTGAGGCAGGAGGACTGCTTGAGATCAGGAGTTTGAGACCAGCCTGGGCAAAACAGTGAGACCCCATCTCTACAAAACATAAAAAAAAATTTTAGCTGGGCACAGTGGCATGCACCTGTAGTCCAGCTACTTGGGAAGCTTAAGCTTGGGTCGCTGGGGCTGTTGTGTCCCCACTGCGCTCCAGCCTGGACAGCAGAGTGAGACCCTGATGGTGAACAAGAAAGATAGGGAATGGCTGCTGGGAGGGCAGCCAACAATGTCCAGTCTCCAGACATTCCTTCAGGTGACGGACCAAAGCCAGGAGGATCACCAAAGGTAAGGAGCTGAAGAGTCACCCAGCCTTGCCAAGGCTTCCTGGCCCAGAGGCTGAGCTGGAGCATGGCCATGCACGCCTCTTGGTTGGTCTCTGCAGCCTCAGTGCATGGCATCCCCCGACCTGAATGCACCTGCTTTTTTGTTATTTGCACTTCGATGTGCCAATGCAGACGTCCAACTGAGCTTGTGACCTTGCGCCAGGTCTAGAGCTCTTACTGAGTCCCCAGCTGTAGTGACTGGAACACACCCATGTCAAAGGCCAGACAGTGGGGCTATGTCCACTGCTCACCCTCCACATCCCATCATTCCTGGTGTGTTGCTAGTTCTCTGCACATTTTAGATCTGTTACATGGACTCTGTCTGTTTGCTCCATGACACTGCCCTTGCTGTCATCTAGGCTACAGTCATCTCTCACGGGACAACCCCAGCTACCCTTCGCTAGTCTTACTGCATCAACTCTGCTCTCCACATAATTTCTCCACAATGAAACCAGAGATAATTCCTTAAAATGCAATGAGATCCTGTCACTTATGCAAATACATGTGTGTGTGTGCACATGCAGGCCCGGCTTCACATCTGTCAGTGAGTGCTCAGCTCTTTCAGGATGAAGACGAAACTCCTCCAAGGTCCATGAGGCCTGCACCGTCTGGCCTCTGCAGCATTGGTGCGTGGCACCCCCCATCCCTGCAGTCACACTGACCTTCTTTCAGCCCAATACTCTCCATGTCCCTTCCAGCCCCAGGACCTCTGTGCATGCAATTCTCTCACCTGATGGGGAGCTCACCTCCCAAAAGAGAAGTGAAAAATGTCTGGGCTTTCCCAGTTTTCCTCGTAGTTATGGCATGGGCACCTAACCCAGGCTCCACCAATCACATGCACCCACTACTGCTGAGTCTGGGGCCCGAGGTGGGAAGAAGCAGGGTCCCCACAGATTTCACTGTAGCTGGGCTGCTGGTGGCAGGGGCCATGCCGCCCATTTTCTGAGAAGCACTGGAAGCTGTGGTTCTTGTGGTAGCATTCCGAGTCTCACAGTGCCTGCCCAGTAGTGAGTGGGAGCCACAGGGGAGCCCTCACCACTTAGTACAGTGGTGGGGTTTGGAACCTTGTTCCTCTCTGCAAAGCCACCCAGCCTGGTTGTCCAGCCCTCCCCAAGTGCCTATGGGACCCCCTCTAGCTGGTTCCCTCTGGGCTTCCATCAGCCAGTCTGTTTCTGTTGTGTGCAACTAAGAACCCCGAGGGGCCAGCTCTCCGCTGATGCCGTGGGATCTCCCGCTGTTTTAAATGCTCCCCTCCCTGGGCTCAGGACGACATTGGCCATTGGTTTGCTCCTCAGAACTCGAGCCGCTCTCTGCAGAGTCATTTGTTGACTCTTCTTACTCCATCCTTCCTCTAAGATTGGTGTCTGTTCCTGGTTATGAATATTTAGAGGCTTCATATTACTTGTGGGACTGATGGCCCACCTGACAGTGCCTCCCTGGGTGACTTTTGATGCCATTTACTAAGACAATGCTGCTCAAAAGAGTAGGCTTGGAGGAAAACTCGTCGTGCTGTTGTAGACTGCTGGGCATTAGGGGATATTGTAGTCTTAGTTATCTGTCATTACGTAACAAATTACTCCGGATGACTTAGGGTCACTCACGAGGCCACAGTGAAACTGCCATCCAGGGCAGCAGCCTCTGAGACTTAACTGGGGCTGAGGGATCCACTTCCAGGCTTACTCACTTGGCTACATGGCTCACTTCCTCACCACATGGGTCTCTCCATAGGGCTGCTGATAGCAGGGCTTCCTGCAAAACAATGATCTATTTTACGGGGTGAGGGAGAGAGAGAGAGAGGCAGGGGGATCTGTGTGTGTGCGGGGAGACAGAGGGAGGGGTGGGGAAAGGGAGAGGGAGGGAGAAAAGGTGGGGGAAGCAAGTGCAAGAGGGTAAGAGAGAGCACCCAAGACACATGCTGCCTTCTCCGAGAAGCCACGCTTGCTGGTTACAGGCCATGGATTCTGCTGAACTCTATGTCACTAAGTCTAGACTCCACTCAAGGGGGCAGGGATCCAGCTACACCTCTGGAAAGGGAGTATCACAGAGTTTGTGGATGCATTCTTCAAATTCTCTTTTTAGACACCTTTGATAACTGCATCAGGTTCCATGAATGAGAAGATGGGTTGGAGAGGCGACAACACTTGAAGTGAAGGGTGGATTAGAGGCCCTTGCCATAGTGTCGGCCTCAGGAATATCGGTAAACCTTCAGTCAGGTTCTGTCTTCAGCAATGGTGGAGTCACTCCGATCAGACCAACTCTCCTGCAGATGACTCCTATGAAACCAGGATGAAATACTAACCACAAAACCTTCTGATGGTGTGAGGGACTAAGTGGTAGAGGCAGATACCATAGGGGGGTTAACCGAAGGGACCGGCACTAGGTGACTTTCTTGCATATCTGCATGTGAGCATGGGCCATAGAGGACGCCATGCTGGGTGACCAAAACTCAGAGACCCAGAGAGCAGAGTTTGGGGTGGCCATGGCAGAGGGAAAGCAGGAGGGGCAACACCTGGGAGCAGAGAAGCACCGTGTGGAGGAGCCCTGTGTTTGGCCTGTACACTCTGCCCAAATCTCTGGTTGACCCCAGAGCTATGCATGCATGGGGCAGAGTCCAAGAAGAGAACCGAGCAGAGGTTTCAGCTGATACTCAATACCGTGGAAACGGAGTCTGGAGCTTGCAGCGGGTACCCAACACTGGGGAGACTTAGAGTGAGTTAAGCTAGCTTAACTGCCTACTAAGACAACAAACTACCACCCCCACCACGACGACAACAAACAACGACCCATCTTTGGAGAAATGTAACAGAAATCGTGAAGTCAAAGCTACTAGAACTCATGGGCAGTGTCTAGGATATAATGCTAGGTTACCAAAAGAAACAAGAATTGTCCTGATACTCAAGGAAAAAAGCATTCAAGAGAAACCAACCCCTGAGATGACCCTAGTAATTCACAATATAAAAAAAAATTCTTAAGGACATAAAGCACACTTCTGCCTGTAATTCCAGCACTTTGGGAGGCTGAGGTGAGTGAATTGCTTGAGACTAGGAGTTCGAGGCCAGCCTGGGCCACCTGGTGAAACTGTCTCTACAAAAGATACAAAAAATTTAGCTGGGCATTGTGGCATGCACCTGTAGTCCCAGCTACGTGGGAGGCTGAGGTGGGAGGATTGCTTTGAGTCTGGGAAGTGGAGGATGCAGTGAGCCATGATCACACCACTGCACTCCAGCCTGGGCAACAGCATGTCACTGTCTAAAAAATAAATAAATAAATAAAATAAGAAACATGCTCCCAACACTTTATTTATTATTTTTTCAGAGGCAGAGTCTTGCTCTGTTACCCAGGCTGGAGTGCAGTGGTGTGATCATGGCTCACTGCAGCCTTCCCCTTTGGGTCTCAAGCAATCCTCTCACTTCAGCTTCCCAGGTAGCTGGGACTATAGGCATATGCCACCACACCCAGCTAATTTTTGTATTTTTTGTAGAGGGGGGTTTCCCCATGTTATCCAGGCTGATCTCAAACTCCTGACCTCAAGCCATATGTCCCCTTCAGCCTCCTAAAGTGCTGGGATTACAGGTGTGAACCACCATGCCCAGCTACCTGCCAATTTTTTTTTGGTGCCATGACTCCCATCTCATTGCTCACTGATTATGAATTTTTTAAAATAGGAAATTTCAGAAGAGAAATAGGAACTGTAGATGCTCCTTGACTTAGTGTGATTAAGTCCTGACAAACCAGTAGTAAGTGAAAAATATGGTAATTTGAAAATGCATTTAATATCCCAGTAAACCCAGATGCCCCTTGACTTAGGATGGAGTGATGTCCCAGTAAAGCCAGTGTAAAGTTGAAAAATCATAAGTCAAACCATCATAAATCAAGGACTGTCTATATTAAAAAGTACCAAGTGTAAGTTCTAAAACTGAAAAATGGTATCGGAAGTAAAATCTTCACTGGATGATCTTAATAACATTGTAGATGACATATGAGTCGCAAACTTACAGATAAATAGAAATAATCCATCCTGAAAAACGAAGAGGAAAAACAGTTTTCAAAAAATGAAAAGGGCATCTCAGTGAGCTCTGGGACAATATATAGAGGTCTAACGAATGTGTAGAGGCCTCTTAGGAGAGAAGGGAGAGAATGGGGAAGAAAAACTACTCAAAGAAATAATGATTGAAATTTCCAAAATTTGAAGATAGACATAATTTAAAGATTCAAGGAGCTCAGTGAATTCCAAGGAAGATAAATACAAAGAAAAACCATGTGTAGGCACATTTGTAGTCAAAGTACTGAAAACTCAGAGTAGCGAGTGAATTGTGAAAACAGTAAAATGGAACTAACTAAAAAAAGAGGAGAATATTCACAAGCTCTAGTGAATTATCATCAGAAGCCATGGAAACCAGGAGACAATGGAACAGGACTTTTAAAGTGGTGAGAGAAAAAAACAATCGTTTTAATCCAGAGCTCTGTATCTATATCCAGGGAAAATACCCCTCAAGAATGAAGGTGAAACAAGGATGTTCTGAGATACATGAAAGCTAAGAGAATTCATCAAGAGACTTAAATGCTACAGGAAGTCTCTTGATCTGAAGGAAAAGAGGGAACCCTTGATCCTTTGGTAGAAATGAATAACAAAATATGTGGGTACATATTAAGTGATATTTATTTTCTCTTTGTAAGTTATTTATAATACATGACAGTTTAAGGTAAAATTATAAATAATGTATTTCAGGGTTTATAACATGTAGGTATCATATATATGACAAGTATAGCATAAAGAATGGGGTGCAGGTGGAGTAATCTACATAATGAAAATGGTCTTAAATTTAGGTGAAGTGGTACAATGTAAACTATAATTAGAGAGTGAAAAGTTAAAAAATTATATAGGAATCTCCAGAGCCACCACTAGAAAACAGTGCAAAGAGTTATTGCTGAAAAGGTATAATAAAAGGTAATAATGATACAAGGATCAATTAATCAGGACACATGGAATTCATACATATGTTTGCACCCAATAACAGAGCTTCAGAGCTTATAAAACAAAAGTTGGTAGAATAAAGAGAGAAATTGGCATTTTCACAATTACAGTTGAGTATTTTAACACTCCTGCCCCAGTCATTGATACTACTATAAAAGGGATCAATAAAAACATAGGATCTCTTTATGACATTAACGATCATATTGGAAAGCAAACAGGGGAGCAAATTGGACCGATTTACCACAACGAACTTTCGCTTTGCAAATGTACTCCCCTGACCCTCGTGGGCAGGCCTTTCCATGGAGGAGGGTCAATCAGTGTGCCTGCCGCTTCTGGGCTTCGAGCTTTTTCACCTTTCGGTGTGGTCGCCATGGTAACAACAGTGCATTCCCACGTGCTCTCCCCACCCAATCATTTGCCCTGTATAGCGACACTGGCCTAAAACTTTGTTTCGGAATTCCCTGTGGCTTCTGGGAGAACCAGGGGTTTCTGGGAGCCCGGGTGGCTGTTGGCGCCAAGTGCCTCAGAGAGCCACACGCTTTCGTGCTGTGGAGCTGAGGCGATCTCTTCAGAGCCTTCAGAGAGACCCAGGCATCTGACTTCCCACTGAGAGACCTGGAGTTGCCCAGAGTTTGAGAAAGTGAGTAGATTGCGGGGGCTTTGCTAGGACCCAGGCCTGGGAGGTGTCAGTGGAGTCCGGGGTGGAGGCACAGGAAGCTACCCGGGCGGGGGGGAGGGGGCAGCAGGTGGTGAGGAGTGGTCTGTGGAGCTGGGGGCCGGCGGTCCTGCCTGGCGTTTTTTGGGCACAGTGTGAGTGCTTCTGTGGGCTTCCAGCCAAGGAAGGTCCTCTGGGGAGGGCGGTTGGAAGGAGGGCTAATGGGAGGGGGTCCCAATCGTGGGGTGGCCGGAGAAGGACCGCTAGGTCCTGGAGATAGTGGGACTGAGGGCTCAGTACAGGGCCTGGGCAGAGGGGGTCTCCAAGCACGTGGGGTAGAGAAGGCAAGAGGTAGGGCGACCCGCCCAGTGCTGGGGCAAGGGGGCGTCAAGGGCTTCCGGCGGCGGGGCTGGAGATCCAGAGGGGGCTCCCCAGGGCGGGAGGGTGAGGGAGCCGTGGAGTGCCGCGTGTGAGAGCTCTGTGGCAGTCTCCCAGCATGGGGTGGCAGTAATGGAGGGCGGCCCAGCCTGGGTCTGAGGCACTGGACAGGAGGTCCGCTGGCGGGCGCCGTGCGCAGGTCCCAGGGGCAGCTGTGTGAGGGCAGAGATGATCCCTAAGCCTGGTGGAGGGCCGAATGGAGCAGAGGGTGCCGTGCCACTGCGGTCTATGGGGTCTCCTGACTTGGGGGTGCGGGCGGGAGTTTTGGGCTCCCGGCTGTGGGGAGGCCACAGACAGAGGCTCGTGTCTAAGCATGTGTAACGCCCTGCTGCCAGGGACTAGACTGGAGTCCTGCCAGCTGCGCTTAGGGGAGCCAGGTGGGGAAGGGCACGTTGGTGGCAGGAGGAGACAGTCTCCTGTGCGCGGTGGGGGATGGGCTGGAAGGAGGGCCAATGCCTGTGGGTGCTCGGGATGCAGAGCCGGAAGCCACCTAGCGGCCGCTGGTACATACGACCGTGAGCGCCCCCTGGAGGTTGTCAGACGTGGCAGTGCCGTTAGGAGCGTGGCCCCCTACAGGTGGAATTGGAAAGGCTTCAGGTAGCCTCTTTCGTTGGGAATGGCGACAGGAGTTGCAATGGCTGGAGAGGGCAGACCTTGGCCTCTTTAGAAAATACGGATTCATTACAAGTGCAAATTGTACATTCACTTAGATAGATCGTATGTTGAGCCATTTAAAAATCTTCAGAAACTGAAAAGGATCGCATGTTTACATAATAAGTTCTCTGATCACAGTGGAATTCTATTTGAAATTAATAACAATAACATATGTCTAAATGTTTGGAAATCCATTGGTCAAAAATGAAATCACACAGGAAACTTACAAGATACTTCAAACTGCACAAAACGTACAACTTTTCCAAATTCCTAGACATTTGGAAGGAAGGAAGTGGTCAGAGGAAAATTTCTTGCTTTCAGCGCTCATAACAGAAAAAAAGAAAGCATAAAATCAGTGGCCAAAGAGTCCATTTAAAGAAGTGCGAAAAAGAAGAGAAAAGTAAACACAGACTGAGTCAAATAAAGAAATAATAGAGATATGAAGGACAATTGGTAAACCCTGACATTGGGCTTTTTAAAGAGTACCAAAATTAACGAATCATAGCAAGACTAATTAAGATGAGAGAGGGCTGGGCACAGTGGCTTATGCCTGTAATCCTAGCACTTTGGGAGGTTGATATGGGGGAATTGCCTTCTCCCAGGAGTTCAACACTGGCCTAGGCAACATAGTGACACCCCTTCTCCACAAAAAATACAAAAAATTAGCCAGGTGTGTTAGCATGCGCCTGTAGTCCGAGGTACCCAGGAGGCTAAGCTGGGAGTATTGCTTGAGCTCAGGAGGTCAAGGCTGCACTGAGCTGAGATTGAGCTACTGCACTACAGCCTGGGCAACAGAGAGAGACCCTGTCGCAAAACACACACACACACACACACACACACACACACACACACACACACACACGAGAGAATGAACACTAATCAATGTCAGGAATGAAGGACAGGATATTGTTACATACCATGTAGACATTAAAAACATAACGAGGGAATATTGTGAACAAGTTTTTATCAAAACTTTTGAAAAGTTAGATAAACTTCCCAATTCCTTTGTGGAGAAAAAAGTAACTTACTACAAATGGCACCAGGTAACATAGAAAATGTGACTAGCCCTGTATCTTGCAAATAAATTTAGTTTGCCATCAAAATTTCACTGAAATCAAAGAGTTAAAATGAGGAGGCAGAAGAGCTCCAGCCCTGTCCCCCTCCCACATGTAGGGTCAGATGAGTGGTGGCAGTGAGTGGCACAAACAAGCTTCTCTCTTTGCACTCACAGGCTGTGTCAGAGACTGCAACAGTCATCACACACTCCTGTCTGATCAAGCTCCCTCTCTCAAGTCCTCCGCGATGGCTCGGGCAATGCTTCAGGACTGGTGCAGGTGGATAGGTGCGAACGCAGAGCGCTCCCTGCTCATCCTGGATATCCCTGATGACTGCGAGGAACATGAGTTCCAGGAGGCTGTGCGGGCTGCCCTGTCACCCCTGGGCAGGTACCGAGTGCTCACCAAGGTCTTCAGAAGGGGGCTCGGGGCCAGGGCAGCCTTGGTGGAGTTCGCTGAGGGTTTAAACCGAAGCTTGATTCCCCGCCAAATACCAGGCAAAGGGGGACCCTGGAATGTGATCTCCCTGTCCCAGGCTCCTGGTGCTGAGTTTCAGGATATGGCCAGTTTCCCTGCACGGCTGCAGGGTCAAGCAGTGGCCAGAGGTGCAGGTGAGGCAGGAGATGAAGATGAGGCAGGAGATGAAGATGAGGCAGGAGGTGAAGATGAGGCAGGAGGTGCAGATGAGGCAGGAAGTGAAGACGAAGCAGGAAGTGAAGACGAAGCAGGAGGTGAAGACGAAGCAGGAGGTGAAGACGAGGCAGGAGGCGCAGGTGAGGCAGGAGGCGCAGGTGAGGCAGGAGGCGCAGGTGAGGCAGGAGGCGCAGGTGAGGTCGAGACCTGGACCCAGTCATGTAACAGGGCGCTGTGGCCTCTGCTGAAAACTGTGGGCCGCCAGGAACTGAGACGCTTTTCCGGGATGGTGCAGCCAGACTGCATGGAAGACTCCTTTGAGAGCTGGCTGGAGCATGTCAACGACATGCTGCAGCTGTGGTGCGACGCATCGGAAAGGGAGAGGAGGAGGCGGGTGCTGAGCAGCTTGCGCGGGGCAGCCCTGGAGATCGTGAATGGCCTCCTGGAGGAAGAGCCCAGCTTCTCCACGCTGGACTGCCTGGCGGCGCTGGGGCACGCCTTTAGGAACCGGGACACATGGGTGACCACACGGCTGAAGTTCCTGACCTGCACGCAGGGGCCCCAGGAGGGGCTGTTTGCCTTCGTGGTGCGCCTGGAAGGCCTGCTGCAGAAGGCCATGGAGAAGGGGGCCTTCCACCCAGCCATGGCCAACCATTTTCGACTGCGGCAGGTGCTGTCTCGGGCCCGCCCCAGCGAGGCTCTCCAGGATACCCTGAAGCGGTTGCAGCTGGATAGGAGGCCGCCCGGCTTCCTGGGGCTGCTTCGGCTCATCCGGGAGATGGAGGTGTGGGCGGCCTCCCCAGCGAGGAGCCAGCAGGGTGCAGCCTGGCCAGAGGCCCCAGTGGAGAGTGAAGACCCAGCTGCCTCCCAGATGGCCCCTGCCCGAGGAGATGTCGCCCAGGCCTCCCCAGCCCATGGGGATGCCAGCAACGCTGATCCCAGCGGAGAAGATGATGCCAAGGCCCCTTCTGCCACCAAAGAGGCCGCCAGGGGCACCCCTGCCACTGGGGAAGATGAAAATGCCCCTGCCGGCCTCAAAGTCCTAGGTCAGGCAGGGCCCATCAATGTCCCTGGTGGCCTCCCAGCCCAGATGGGCAGTGCAGTCGACATGGCCCCAGGAGGTCCCAGCTGGGAGCCAGAGGGCCTTGTCCAGGTAGGAGGACAGAAGGCTGAGGAACCTCCCCAGGAGGGGCTCAAGCCCATTTTGGAGGAGTCTGAAAACGAAGATGAGGATGGGGCTGGGGAGGCGGGCCAGCCCAAGTCCTCCCTGGGCAAATAGTCTCCGAGGGCCCCAGGGCCTCCTCTCCTCTCAGGCAGCAGCACCCTGGAGGCAGACGGAGGCCAGGCCAGGGCCAGTTCCTCACCCCACATCAGGAGCAGTGCCTCCCACCTCCCGCAAGGGGCCCTGGCCACCACCCCCAGTCCTTCACCATGACCCAGATGACCACATTTGATTCCAAATGGGGGGCTGGCCTGGAGGGATCCCTGAGTGGCCAGCCGTGGCCTGGGTGGGGGCACCTGAAGATGTCTGCCTCCACCCCTTGTCCTGGGTTAAGAGAGATGCAGGAAACAGGCCCTCTCAAGGGTGCCAGCTGCCTGGGTCTCCCAAGAGGGGTCCCCCATTTGCCATCCCCGGGTCAGGCTGCCGCCTGTTCCAGGAAGCTCACCCTCACCTGTATAGGCCCCGTAGTGACCCATGCGCCCAGCAGACGCCCACTCACTGCTAGACATCATTCCTGTGCAAAGTTGTGTGCTGTGCACTCACCCGGGCGGCTGCCTCTGGGCCCGGGACACGTGCTGTGAGCTTCCTGCGAGCCCACACTCTGCTCGCTGCTGTCTGTCCCGAGTTGTGAGCACCACCTCTGCTTTCCCAGTGTAGATCTAGGCCAGGGGCTGCTTGTTCTGGTGGAGCTGTGTGTGTTCTTCTCTGAGCAGCTTCTCCCCAGAGGTCCCCAGCACGATCCCGGGAGATGGTGGGAAGGAGGTACCAGGACACGGTACCAGTGACTGTGATGGTGACAGTGACTGCGGAAGAAGAACTGGACCCGTGGCAGAGAGGGCTGTGTGAGGCTCCCCAGGGACTGTGCTTTGGTGTTCCACCCCTGTTGTTACTCGTGACTCAGTTTCCTCAGCCTGGTGGGGTGTTACCTGCTGTTTTCCAGTGTTCTGTGACTGTCCTGTGAGGGCCATAGGGTAGGGATGGGCTTGGGAGGGGGCTCCCTGAAGCCAGTGGACACTGCCAGAGTTCACCGTCCTGGCAAGAGGCAGACCTGGGGCCCTCGGGAAGGAGGGAAGTGGCGGCGGGGGCCACAGTGGGAGGGGAGGCAGGCGACACACCTTGCCAGGAACCCCAGGAGGGGGGTGCCCGGGACCTGTGGCCTGTGGTGGTTGTTTGCTTCTTCTCTCTGTATTGTGGTTCCCTTCTCTTCAATGGTTTCAGTATATGCTTCTCTTCAATAAATTTCATTCCGTGTTCCAGCTGGTCTCGCCTCTGCTGTGGGAAACTGGGGGAGGGGTGGGGATGGGATGGGCATGGCTGGGGATGGGGTAGGCATGGAGGAGAGGAAAAATATCCCTACCCAGCACCCCTGGGGGACATCTCCAATGAGAGTGTAAGTAAGCACTGTGGCCAGCAGGCTAGGACATGACAAGGGCTTTTCTTGTATTTTATTGGTGAATTGTCAAGTTTTAGGGTTTCATTAGTCCTTAAATTTGTGTTGTCCTATTCCCTGCAGCTTTTGAAAATGTGTGGGGATGATGCTGGTTGTTGACTCGACTCTGGGGAAGGTGCCACTGGCATTCCGTCCCTAGGGTCCAGGACTTCTGAACGTGGCTCACGTGTTTCTGAGGCCATGCAAGAAAGATGAGTCCTGCCCACAAGGTCAATAGCACCCACAGTGAGAAAGCCAGTGTGAGAGTTACAGGGGTTCCTAAAACCCCCACATGTTTGAAAACTTGAGATATCCTAAAACTTGAAAATTCCACCATGGAACAATAATGAGCAACTTCAAATCTCTAGAGCCTAGTGGGGCTTCTGGGAGGATGGGTGCAAACATTCATCCACCCTCCACCTGAGATGGGAGATGCGCTCTCCAGGAAGAGGAGTGGCCAGGGAGGTGCAGAATCAAGGGGGACCTGCAGGAGCCTGGGTGCTCTCCGAAGTGGTGACACTCAGGCTGAGAGCTGGAGGCTGTGAGTAGACAAAGACAGGCAGTCTGTCCAAAGAAAACCTTTAGACAAAATACATTTAACAAAGTTGATTTGAGCATGAAAGGGTTCATGGATCAGGCAACATTCAAGATGGGGAGGGGTTTAGAGAGCTGTGTGCAGCCCTGTGAAGAGCAGGAGGCAGAGAAAGGGCCTCCTGGATCTGCTAGGTGAGGCGTTTGCCTCCTTTGGGTGTGGTGCGGTGGGAGGTCCCTAGCTAGAGGTTCCACGGCAGTTTCTCTTGGGCCAAACTTGTGTTTTGCTTTACTGTTTACACTGGCTTCAGTTTGCTTGTGTAGGGATCCAGGGCACGGGAGCTGTCTCAGTCTAATGGTCTAATTATATATATTTTTAACAAGGCCAAGGGCGTGGCATATACCCTGGCCCCCCAGAAGGGCTGGAGCTTGGCATTTCTGTGCTGAAAACTGGGGAAATAGGGTGCAGAGGAAGAGACTATTTGGGGCCCTGTGGGGATGGGGAGGAGTCAGGTTTACTTCTCAGGCTGGTAGGATGCTGTTGGCCGATTTAGGCCTCCCACGAGGAGCAGGAAATGCCAAGTCGGTGCTCTCCCAGCCTCTGCAGCGAGGGCTTGCACGCGTGACCTAGGCTCCACCAATCAGATGTGCCCACTACCCACCGAGTCTGAGGCTGGGCTGCTGGCAGGAGGAGCTGCGTCACCCATTTCCTGAGGATCGGTGGTGGCTGCATTAGGCCACTCTTGCATAGCCATAAGGAAATACCTGAGACTGGGTAATTGATGAAGAAGAGAGGTTTACACGTGGGCTGTACAGGAAGCATGGTGCAAGCATCTACTCACAGTAGAAGGGGGAGAGGGGACAGACACTTCACATGGTGGAAGCAGGAGGGAGCGAGTCAGCGAGCAACACAGAGAGAGAGAGAGAGAGAGCGCTGGGGAGGAGGTGCCGCACACTTTTAACTGACCAGATCTTGTGTGAATTGAGAGAGAGAGCTCAGTCATCACCAAGGGGATGGCCCAAGTCATTCATGAGGGATCCGCCCCCATAACCCAAACACCTCCCACCAGGCACCACCTCCGACATCAGGGATTCCAATTCCATAAGTGATTTGGGAGGGGAAAAATGTCCAAACTATATGATCATGGTTCTAGCGGCAGCACCCTGAGTCCCACAGTTGTGGGTGAGAGCCTCAGGGGAGCCCTCACCTGCCCAGCACTCACGGAGTTTGGAACCTGGTTCCTCTCTGCGAAGCCTCCTAGCCTGGTTCTCCAGCCCTCCCCAGGCCAATCTTGGGATAGTGCCCTAGGCCTGGCAATTCTTCTGGTCCCAGTATTGTTAGCTTCCCAGAATGCAGTGGCCCTTCCTCTTAGTTCTCTTAGGAATTTTGGGAGAATCCCTCAGGAATTCCAGCTTTGGTGGAAAGTAATGCCCTGTCACGTGATTGAAGGCACAGCGCTCAGCTCTTTTCTTCCTGCTGGGGCCCAGCCAGGTGGTGGGCCTGTGACTTGGGCTTGGCTATCAAATGCCTTGTCCTGGGTCTCTGAGTCTGAACCGGAGGTCCCAGGCAGGAGTGGCTAGAGGCCCGGACCCAGGTGGAGGCGGTAGCATGCTGGCTGGCCTGTCCCTGCTCGTGGCCTTTGCTCTGGTTTTGGAAGCCCGGGGGAATTCCCGCTTTCCAAACCCAGTCCCTGGTCTCCGGCCCTTTTCCGTGAGTCCCCAGGAGCCAGACAAGTAGAGTCCACTGTGCCCGATAACCACAGGCTGTCCCAGTGCAAGCTGCCCACTGACTGGCACATGCTGCCGTGTGGTTGCTTTGAGGCTCTGCTAAATCCTCAGCACAACCTCCAAGTGTCTCCTAGGTGGGAGCAGCTGGAGGCCAGGGCTGTGTCTTGCTCATCCCTGCATTGGGCACAGCCAGATGGGGTGGGGGGGCAGCGGTTCTTCGGGGAGTTTGTGAAGATGACTCTACCAGCTTGGGCCGACTCTATCTGAGCACACTCGCCCTGACATTTGCAGCCCCTCCTGGGCAGTCCCAGGTGACCAAGCCCTAACCCTCTTCCAATGAAGAAGCTCCTCACACATCCCAACTGGGGCCATCATGCTCCACGAACCCCAAAGAGTGATCAGCTAGTGACCAAGTCCAGGGGATGGCAGGTGTGTTGCGACAGCGCCAATGGTGAGTTCTTCACCTGTGCCCAAGTTCGCCCTTTCAGGGGAAAGAAAGAGCAACTCAACACCTCTGGCTCCCTCCCACTTTCCTCTGTCGTTGTCCTGGAAGAGCCACAGACACCCCATGGCCACCATGGGCTGCAGAGCTGCCAATGCAAAACCCTGCTCACCTGTGACCTGGCGGGGGCAGGGTGCCAGTGCAGAAACCCGTGGGGCAGGCAGGTCTGGGGGAAGCTCTCGGAGCTGAAGGTGAGGGCCTTGGGGAACCCCCAGTCCAGTGTGAGCCTTGCTGGAGAAACCTTCCCAGCCCCAGTTATAGTTGGGCTCTTCCTGTAGACACTGCTGGCAGCTAGGTGGCACCTGGCCATGCGGAGGGGGACTCCTGGCACAGCTTCGGTGCCCCTGCCCTAAGCTTCTGGGACATGAGTAAAACACCAGAAGCTTTGAGGGACAAGGTAAGAGATTTCTCCGCCGGCCTCGATGGCACCATTCATATTTCCTTCTCAGTTTCCATGCTGTGCCCTCCGTCTGGATTGAGGTCCAAATCCATGCTGGCCTGGCCCCTTCCTGCGCCCGTCGGCAACCTCTGCACCCCCGGCAGCCCCCCAATCCACTGACAGTGTCGGGTCCCAGAGCTGATGCAGGTTGAGGGCCATAGCTCGGAGAGGGTGAAGCACCTTGCTGTGGAGTGGACAGCCTCCCTTGAAGCCCCGTATACTCTGCTGGGGTGCTCTCCTGGCCCCGTGCCCATCCTGGTGCCAGCCCAGCTCCCATCTGTGGAGGGGAAGATGGTGTTCAGCAGAGGGCTGTTGGGATCCTGCTGTGGAGAAGTTGCTTGGTGAGTGACTCGGTGCCTCCCCCTTGGGGCACTCGGGAACTGGCCTCGAGTGGCTCCTTCAGACGGGTTTGGCATAGGAGCCTGAGTGTGACTGAGAGGCCACACTGGGCTTTGGGGGACAAGTCCACTGGAGAAGGGCTTCAAAGACCCTCCTAGCAGCCACCTACCCAGGGAGCCAAAGGTTTCTGGGTGAGCAGGGGCTCGGGGCTCAGGGCGGCCAGGAAGGAAATGCGTGGTGAGCCTCCTGTCACCTCACCGGCCACCTTGTAGGACCTGGAGCCCATGTCTCCATGCGTTTTGAAGGTTTGGGGCTGGAGAAGCCGCCTGAGCCTTGTTCCTGGGCAGGGCATACCTCGGCACTGTTGTGTACGTGCAGAACTGTCTTGCTGGCTCTGTTCCCACTGGCCTGCTCCCCGCTCAGTGGCTCCCAGGAACTCTGAATCCCTGGACATTAGGCTCAGCTGAGCGGTGCAGGTGGCACATCCAGCAAAGCAGGATGTGGGGGCTTGGGGAGCCTCCGAAGGAGAAGGCTGATGTCCCCAGCTGCGCATACAGAGGGGCCAGCAAGGGTCACGTGTGTGGCGTCCCTGGGCTGCACTGACACCAGTCTTCTCAGAATGTCCTGTCCTTTGTGGTCCTTGGTGAGGGTTGGCCACGGGAGAAATCTGCATGAGATTTGGAAAGGAGAAATGAAGCTGAAGCTGTTTTTCTTCCAAATGCCCAGGAGGTCGGGGTAGGCGCACCGCCACCTGCATCTGCCGCCCCCGCACCTCTGCCTTCTGCCTCTCCTGCATGGGGACCGGTGCAGCTCCTGCTGGCCCTGGCTGCGGAGGTTTGAGGTCCTCTGCTGCAGCTCTGCGATGACTGTGATCCCACAACATGTCACTGGGTCACTGAGGTGGGAGTTCTACTGAACTTTAGCCAGCACCCCACAGGCCTGTGCTGGAGTCCAGCTGGTTCCCAGAGCACCTTCATCCACTCTGCCTGCAGGGGCCTGCTGCCCCTGCCTGCCCCGCCTGCCCCGCCTGGGATGCCTCAGCTCCCCTGCTCTGCTCCATGCTCCTGAGGCTCCTGCAAGCTGCTCACAGTGAGGCGCCCGCTCTCCATGCCTGTGGAGTTACTCCAGACCACATCCTCTTCAGCGTCTTCCCAAGTGGATTGAAGGTCCTCGACCCAACGTCCCAGGTCACAGTTTAAGGAACAGCCCAGAGTTGCCTGAGAAGCCTCATCTCGCCCAGCTTAGATGGGCTGGGTCTTCCTGGCCTGGAGTGGCCTCCAAGCAGGGG